TTATATTTGTGACAGCAGACAAATTTTATTTTTGTAGTAATTTTTAACTTGTCATCTAAAAAGAAAACTTGATTTTTTTTTCTTTTTTTTTTTATGTATTGCAGTTTATTCGCTTTGTATCCTGGCTGCAGCCCCTCCCTCATCTCCTCCCTGCCCCTCCCCTAGTCCACTGATAGAGGAGGTCCTCCTCCCCTTCCATCTAACCCTAGCCTATCTGGTCTCATCAGGACTGGCTGCATTGTCCTCCTATGTGGCCTGGTAAGGCTGCACCCCCCTCAGGGGGAGGTGATCAAAAGAGCCAGCCACTGAGTTCATGTCAGAGACAACCCCTGTTCCCATTACTAGGAAACCCACTTGGAGACTGAGCTACATCTGTGCAGGGGTTCTAGGTTATCTCCATGTGTGGTCCTTGGTTGAAGTATCAGTCTCAGAAAAGACCCCTGGGCCCAGATTTTTTTGGTTCTGTTGCTCTCCTTGTGGCGTTCCAGTCCCCTCCAGGTCTTTCTATCTCCCCCTTCTTTCATAAGATTCCCTGCACTCTGCCCAAAGTTTGGCTCTGAGTCTCAGCATCTGCTACAATACCCTGCTGGGTAGAGTCTAATAACTTGATTTTTTGATTCAACACAAAAGCCTGTATAAGCTCTGATTTTGTAAGCCTTGGAATGCGCTGTTTCTCACACTCTGTACAAATGGCGAGAGTGAGGCACACAGGCGCCCCATTTGCATATGTATTAGAGGTAGCCCTTATTTGAAAACACCACTTCTGTTAAATCATGTTTAAAAAACCAATTTCTGTTATTTTTGGTTTTATTTTCATAGACTCCATAAAAAGTCATAATGATTTGGTATTTTTCAGCATGAAAGAGGTCAGTAATACGAAACAAATTTTCAAGGTGTTGCGTTTTGCCTGTGTCTACCGAGTCCCTGGCAAGCGAGAGGACTCTGAGTGCTCCTCCCTGAGGCCACCACCTTTTCCAGTCCATCTCTCTGTCTCACTTCCACCTTTATTTACTACTAAAGCAGTCCGCAGAGGCTCGAGGTCACTTCTCAAATTGAGAGTTCCGAACATTTTCAAGCCTCGAACGAACTCTGGCTGAGTCTCCCCGAAAGGACCCGCTATCTCCCGAGTTCAGCCGTGGGGAATGAGGGTTAGTTAGAAGTGTCCCGGTGCTGGGTGTGGTACAGACTCGGGCCCCTGCACCTGCCTCTTCCGTGTGCCGTCCTCACCTTCATCAGTTGTCGCATGGTCTGTTTTCACACCTGTTGCTCTCTATGGGGTCATAGTGCCCTGCTGAGAGCGTTTCCTGCTGCACTTTAAATGACCCCCCCCCGTTTGTGTACTCATCGTCTCTTCATGGCTCGTGGCAACTTCAGCATGACCAATAAGCCTTCTGCCTCCTAAGAATCAATTTATAGCTCCCTTGCACTTCGGTTATATTTTCTGGCTACTAATCATGGACTTCTGCTTTAGATCAGCAAAACAGCAGTCACCAAACCACCCACTCACCACAAAAAGCCAAACTGTGGGTAAAAAATCAACAAATCCCTGTCTTTGGCTGTATGTATAAAAGCATTACGTTTTATTCCATAGACTCAACAAGTATTGCATAAATTTAAATTATTGCTCCAAGAAGTTAACTTAGCTAAGTTTTATGATGCAGCCACATCCTAGTCTTGTTTGAGTTTTCAGGTTTAAGAACATGGAAGTTATCAGTGAGAGTTTTGTCCTGGGGTAACCTCCAGCCGGGGAGGCCGAGTGAGGGTGGGCAGGTGGGTGTGGTGCTGGAGCCGCTGGGCAGGCCCGTGGCTGTGTCTGCGCAGTGTGTCCGCATGGCACCTCTGCGCTGCACACACCCTCCCTCCGTAATGAGGGGCTGCACCGGGAGCCTCTGCATAAGACAGCAACGACGGACAAGGAAACCTGAAACATGGCTTCTATTGTTGGTAGCCTAAGGTAAAAGAGCCCATTCTTTTAAAAGATTCAGAAGGAAAAAAGCGGGGTGGAGAGCACCCCAACTTTGAGTTCTTGCGTGCAAGCGCTGTGTGTTCCCTGTCAGCTCACACACTAACCCTGTCACACAGCTATGGTTATTTTCCCGTCACTCAGCTGAAGAAGTGGTTTAGGGCTGACCCAGCAGCCGGCCCAAGTCACAGCCAGTGATGTAACTCTTAATGTGACATCTTGTGGAAACGAAGAGAACTTTGCTCAGGATCTCTCAGTGACAGCTTTGTCTAAAGAAGCCATACCTGAGAACCTGACGGGCGGTCACAGCCACCACGTGTGGCGCACACCGACCCCCCTTGACACTCGTGATTCATGGAGTTCCCGAGGTAACCCTCTGCTTGCTGATCCTATCTGAAGATGAGAAGCCAAGTCACAGGAAGAGTGGCCGGGGCAGCCAGCCGGGGCCCCATTGTGTCCAGAACCCCGTGTTTTAATCTGTAGCTCCTGGGTGGAGGTGGGGCGCAGGCTCACCGCAGGGCAGGGCATGCGCCAGCCTACCAATCACACATCCACTCATGTTGTCCAGATGCTGACTCAGACCCAGGAGAGCTACACGGTGGGGCGGGGCCTTCTGCCTAGGCCTTAGCTGTGCTTCTGTGTTTGTGTTTCACACTGACGGAGCTCCTGAAGCCAGCCCTCACCTTGCCTGCACTGAGCACAGCTGGATCCGGGTGTGTTCCGAAGCACTGTTTCCGGGAGGGCGGCATTCGCCCACCAGCGTGAGACTCCACGCCCACAGCTGCCCTGCTAAGGACCCGCCTTCGCCTCCTCATCCTTTCAATAAGCCGTTAAGTCCCTTAACCAATCTGGTTGCCCTTTTTTGAACTTGATCCAATCTAAATACATCCCTAGTGCCTGTGAAATTCACAAGCAAGCTTGGAAGACAGTGCGGGAAGCCAGGGCTTTATGGGGCGAGGTTAGACTTCTCCCCTCACTGAGGGAGCTTGAGATGGCGTCCATCTTCGTTAGGGTGACTCGGGTTTAAACATGCCTCCAGTGTGTAAGTTGCTGCTTAATGTGTGGTGCGTCATCTCAAACAGCTTGACTTTCCACAAAAACAAAATGAAAACATCTCTCCCCGGTAATTTCTTACATATAGAAAGGAGTTATAGAAGCAAACCTTAATCTCTAAGCGTCTCCAGCCCCACAACCCCAACGCATAACTGCATAAAACCAGTCAGCCTGTCCACCTGGAGCCTCTCGGTACTGGCCCCTGAGCTTCATGGGGGCTCCGCCTCCTTCTCAGGGGCTCTAGGTTCTACATTGCAGCAAGATGCTGCTCACGCTGCGCTCAGAATGACGCTTGCTGAAACTTCGGGATTTGGGTTTCAGTCACCTCAAAACTCCATTTGGATAGCTGGGATGCTTTCTCAGTGAGTAAAGTTCCACGCAAACGTGAGGACCTGAGCTCAGACCCTCGCACCCATGTAAAAGCCAGGCACAGCGGTGCGCCTCTAACCTCTGACCTCTGGGAGAGAGTGCAGTGTCAGGATTGTCTCCAACACCATGCACTGTGTTTACAGTTCCAAGTCCAATACAAGTGACACCAGCATTAATATCAGTGTGCTACCTTCTGAAGGAAGACGTTCGGGGTCCTTTTCAGCATTTATTACACTATTTTTAACATACATCTTTCTGAAATTCTTTGAGAGACCTACACCCATGCTCCTGGTACTCTTGGGTCTGTCCTGCTTCGAGTGCCCCTTCTCATTACCCTTCTGCGTAAGCTGCACTAAAACGTCTTTATTAGTGCCGTCTCTCACCCTCCCCAACGCAGTGGACACTGACTCGGTATAAGGCCTATGAAAACTCCTCTCACTCTGGTGGCATCTCCTGTGTCCACACTGTCCTCCTTCCCACAGAAGACAAAGTCCTTCACAGCGGCATTGCTCATGGTAGCATCCCTGCCTGTGACGACAGCTCAGGGACTTCCCATTGAGCAGAACTTGAATTTCTGAGACTTGCCAAACCTTTATACAGAGAAGTATGCAATGTTGAAGTGTGTGATACACACATGCATACGTCTGATGCATATTGGTCTATGTGTGTATTGGTCCGCATGCACACACACTCTTTATGGAGGGAGAAGGAAGCTTTACCAGTCAGACCTGTGAAGGGAGACTCAGTGGATGTGCCCAGCAGATTTTCTTTAGTTGGAAAATGTGTGGAGTCAGGAAGGAGGCTGTGTTGCTTCCATGGATATTTTTTTCCTTAGCAGAAAGAGAACCATGCAGGCTCAGTATTGGCCCAAGAAGAAGGACAGTGTGTTACACTGGCTTCCTCGCAGCTGAAGAAGGGAATTGAGGACGTGTTTAGCCTTTGAACTTTCCCAGAGTGCACATTGCTCGAAGTACAATCCACATGCTCTTAACACTAGGCGCCTGGGTTTTGTACACCGTGGCACAGGCTAACACCTTTTTTCCTCTGCTGTATCTTCCACTTTGAGTTTCTTCAGCCCTCTTGCATTGGTGAACCAAGGTGCAATTACTCCCCTGCTCATTCTCATGGTTACTTGTAAAGGGTAAAATTTCTCATCTTAATTCATTGTCCATTACAATATTATATCTCCTGGGGTAGTGGAGGGCAGCCGGGTTTTGATGAACAAGTGCCAAACCTCTGATTGCATGCTCTCCCTGACTCAGCACACAGCTGACGGATGGGACTTTGTGAGGCAAGGGAACATTCTAATTGTAACCAGAGTTCAGTTTAGGCGTCCCAAGAATGCCAGAGAGTAGTATTGGGCTGTACAATAGAGGGCCCCTGATAAAGTACTCCAGTGGTACACCTTCAGTATCTGGAGGGTTTCTTGTAAGAAAGCAACCCAAAGAAAACCTTCACGTTCCCTCCTGTCACAGGAGGATGCCTCCAGTGGTCAGTGCTCACTGGCTCCCCCTGCTGGTATCAAGTCACCTTACACTTCATTGCCCCTGCCTGTTGGGTTGGAGAGAATGTGTGGCTTCTAGGCTTTATTCAGTCTCCTTCTTGTTTGTTCTAGGCCAAAGAATTGCCAACCTTAAAGGATAATGACTTCATCAATGAGGGCCAAAAGATTTATATTGATGACAACAACAAAAAGATATTCCTGGAAAAACTGAAAAAAGATGTCGAGGTAAGACAAGCCAATAGGAAGGGTTTGCCACTGTATCGCCATCAACTCTGTTGGATCTGTTTAATCTTTTTGAATCTAAAATGAAGGCAAAACTGTGTATATCCTACATTAGCCACGGCTCACATATAAACAAACTGAGTTACAGGCTCTGGTTTTAAGATGAAGTTTGGCCAGTCAGCTTGACAAGAACCAGAGTCCCACTGTCTGTCACCCGTAGCATGCCTGAATTCTCGGATGCCCTGCTTGTGGGAGGGAAGATGGCCTACCCACGGCAGCCAGCGTGGGAAGGCAGCAGTGCCGGTCTGTTCTCAACACCAGCCGTGTCAGTTGGGCACCCTTCCTCTGAAGCTCGCCCCATGTTGGCATCCACAGGCTCGCTTCCTCGCTACTCCACCAGCTGTGCTGACCATATGAGGCCGAGAGCCAGCCCTGCCGGGTCGAGGGACTGGCGTGGAGCTGTTTGGACACAAGGTCCTCAGAGAAGGGGCAAGAATAGGACCAGTGTTCTACTTCTTTCTAGTGAGCTTTTTATGAAATAGTGAGCCTGTTATGAAAGAGGTTTGTTTTTAATACTGTTTTCTATAAGAATTTTTTTTTAAATCCCTCTTCTTACCATTTTGTTTATTTTTCCTGTTGGGCTTTCTTATTTCATTCTTTTAGAGGTAAACTTGGAGGGAAGTTATTTTCTTGTAATTTGTTGAGTTACAAGACAATACAATGAGAATTTTAATTTAGGCAATTACTCCCTAGGTTTCTCTTGGCTGTTAATTTCATATGCTCCCTTTTCCCTTTGAAATACTGTTTCCTACATACTAAGATCTGCTATGGCTTTGTGGAAAGATTTTCTTTCTCATGTCACTAAATGAAAACAATTTGAATGACTGGAACCAAAGAATGAATGCCCCACGTTTGATTCCTCGTGGAGGCTGAGCAGTTCCTGGGGCTGCTTCAGAATCTTCTCATAGCTCTTCTCTCCACAAGACACTCAGGCTGACCAGGTTCATTCTAAATTATCTTTAGGTCTTTTTCTATCATTTTAATCTTCCTGATATTTATGCATAGATTAGTTACTTGCAAAGGCTATGAGTGAGTAGTTTGGTTTTGTTTGTTTGTTCATTTGCAGTGAGGTGTTTGCTTTTCCATTGTAACATTTTTCTCTCATCTTTTATTAATAAACAGTTCATTTTGCTTGGCTGTAGTTGCTTATTATAAAAACGCATGTTAGTTAAGTATTTCCTCTTTACTTGAGAATCAACTTGATCTACCTGATAATTAAGAACTGTAGCATAAAATCGAGAAATCTTTGATCCTGAGAATAATATTGTTTTAGCAATTATGGTAAGTAGCCCTTAGGGTGATCTGTGACCTGCCCCCCAAAAATCCTGTTTTCTTTTTTCTTCCTGTTGGCTGCACTTCACTGAGGTGATGTGTCCCCAGGGAGAATGTAACCAGGGCAGTTGAGACTTCGTGTTGAATTCTGTGAGGATGCTCAGCGTTTTTGTCAACTGACGCTTAGCTAGTTAATCCGGTGTACGGTGCTCTGACACACAGCTGCTTTGTGGAAGTGGGGGCTTAGCAAAAAGTGTCCACTCATTTAAAATGTTTCTCAGCAGCTGATAGCAGCGTCTTTACTTTTGAAACCCGTGCCGAAGCGCCATTACATCTTTAAGCAGATAATTATAGTGAAGCAACTCGACATCTGGTCTTGATAACAAGAATAGCATTCAATCTAGTTTTCTTTTTCACAAGTCCCACACTCTCCAATTTTGACAACCAGCCTGACTGCTAAAATTTCAAGTGTGTGTGAATACATGTGTGTTCATGTATGTGTGCATGCCTGTGTGTGAATGTGTTTCCATAAACTCTTTCTTAATTTAAACCAAGCATGGTAGTACATTCACTTTCACTACAGCACTCAGAACACTGAGGCAGGGGGTCACCATAAGTTCAAGGCCAGCCTGGTCTGCATAGTGACCTTGCCTCAAAACAGAAAAAAAATGAAGAAGAAAAAGAAGAGGAGACGGAGGAGGCCTGAGTTTATTATAACTGAGTTAAATGGTCTGTTTTTCTTTGAAAAGAGAAATAGTTGTCACTTCAAAATCTGTTCTAATTGTTTTTTTTTTTTTTCCTCTCCCTGCAATAAAAATTCTCTTTTGTTTATATGCAGGGCAGGGTCCTGTAGTCCAGATAGCTTTCATATGTACACTCAGTATAGATATGTAAACCCTTTTTCTGCAAAAAAGAAAAAAAAAAAAAAACCAGATCTTAGAAGGAACGAAACTCCCTTTTGTTTTCTACTTGCTTCTCATTGACTCTGGTTGTGACAGTGAGGAGAGTCCCAGTGATGCTGAGGTCACAGCATCCGGGAGGGAGCCCCCAGCTTCCTGTGTAACTAAAGGCTCAAGAGGCAGGGTGGCCAGCATCCATGGAACATGCAGTCCTTCCCAGAAAGTCATTATCTTGTCTCAGTCTTAAAGCAGCTTCTTCTGTTCTGGGACCGTCACTAGCCCTCTTTGCCTGATGAGAAAGTTGTGTCCATGGCTGCTGACGGAAGAGCTGCTGAATCAGATCATGATTTAACTACTCAGAGTCCACACTCCTAGCTGCACTGACATGAACTAACTGGGTGTTGTGTTCTGAAAAGACTCTGAGGGAAGATGATTACAGTTTTTAATTTTAATATAATTTTTAATTAAATTTTTGAGAATTTTCTGAGGATGGCAGTTTTGAACAATGTGGTCCAGTGTTGAACAGTCTGATTGGAATTTTAATTCATATCTTATATGGTTGGGAGGTAGGGTTTGAGAAGGTAAGGAAGTTCATTTAAACTTTCAGAGGAGACTTTAACCTGCTCCTTGACCACATGGCCTGGTAGAAGAGTTAGTTCCAATACTCATTAAAATCACGAGGAAGGTACTGGCTCAGGAGTTAAGGTTAAGGGTGGACTATGTGCTTGGCATGTACAAGGCCTGGGTTCAGGGCCCAGCACCAAAAAGGAAATTAAAATATATGTATTTGACATAATGAGAAATTTATTACAAAGGAATCAGATTAGATTAGATCTTATGAGAGGGGAAAACAAGAGTAGACCAGAGGCCTGGCAGTATAAGACTTGTAAAAAAGGCAAGTGGGGCCCTGAGGAGTTCTGAATCTATGTGCTTTAAAACATTACATATTTTTAAAATAATCACATGAGTTAAGCCAGGCATGGTGGTAGGTGGCTTTACTCCCCACCCCAAGAGGCATAGGCAGGGACATGGCTATGGGTTTGAGGCCAGCCAGCTTTACATACCTGAGCCCCAGACCAGCCAAGGCTAAGTAGTGAGATCCCCAACTCAAATAGACAAACAAAAAGATATAAGTAAACAAGAAGCTTAAAGGGATGACTAGGGAAAAAACTGTAGATACTGTCTTTCGTTTCCTGCATTCGAAGGCGCCAGCCCCACAGCTGAGTCCTGTTCCCCAGCCTGTCTTCTCTTTCTACCTGTGAGCTCAGACTGTGATTTCTTGGTGGGATTCCTCTCTCCACGGAGTTTTGATTTTACTTGAATGTTTTGAACCTGGCTCATTCCGCTCCGCCACCGGGGTGATTTGCAGTAAAGTTAGTGAGAGACAAGAGCCAGCTAGCGAGTGGGGAGCCTTTCCCAGTTGCTTCTTTCTCCTTCCACTTGAACTGTGTAGACTGGTTCTGGTTCACTTTCACCTAGAAGCCTCAGACTCACCATGTCACAAGCAAGCTCTTTGTGTGGGCGTGCCCTTCCCTAAGCTGCACCGCACTAGAGTGAGCTGTGTCCCACCCCCTTTCGCACACTGGGCTCTGCAGAGCCAGCCTGCTTTCAGCTAAGCTGTCCACACGTCAGTGATTCAGTCAGAACACTGCACCTCGGGTATCTGTGTATATCCAATTCATTAAGAAAATGAAGGGGAGAAGAAAGAGTGTGGAAAGTCAGAGAACCTGACAGATTGATTAAATAAAACAATGAGCTAATGGAGAGACGAGGATCTATTATGTAAATGCAGGTTTGTTGGAAACAGTGAGGGAGGGGAGGGAAAGGGAAGCTTGTACTGGTGGGGGAGGGAGAGAGGGCAGGAACTTGGGGAGACCAAAGTTCCGGCCAAAGGACAGAAAGGGATCGACTGGAGAAGCCCCGCCCCTAGGCAGAGGGCAGGACGTGCCAGCCACGCCCTGCAGCAGTAGGGGGCAGACCTCAGCAGCCGCGGTGGGAAAGGAAAGGGGGTGGGACGGTACCTCTGGGACATCGTGGGGAGCAGCACCAGCACCGGCAGGACTTTGGAGGGATACAGAGGGACTGTGTCACCGGCACTGACACCGCTCATTCACAGTTGATGGGGATGGATGGGCTTTTACCTGTTGGTGCCAGCGTGATAATGATGTGCTCCGAGTATGCTGGGTTTCCCAGTGCTTTCCAGGAGGTTTCAGGGCGCTCTGCTGGAGGCTGCCGGGGACTCCCTGCTTTTCCCAGTAACGGTCTTCATTGCTGGGCTCCCCTCCCTGGGCGCTTCCCTGATCTTATAAGGACCTCGGTGGCTACATAGTAAGTGCCAGTCTCAGAAGCCAGCTTTTCGCTTGTGGGGTGGGATAGATTATCCTAGCTCTGGACCAGCCACAATGAGAGAAACTGCCTAAGAATGGGGACCACGTAAAGGAGGCTGGGGTCCCCTAGCATTCTTGCTGCCCACTCCCTTGGAGCCTTCCCCGGTGTGTGTCCTTCTGACCCTCAGTTCTTTGACTACTAGCAATTGTGAGGGTATAACTGACCTGTCCACACCCCCTCCAGTTCCTTGCACAGTTAAAACTCATGGACTACAGCCTCCTGGTGGGCATCCACGACGTGGAGCGAGCAGAGCAAGAGGAGGTGGAGTGTGAGGAGAACGACGGGGAAGAGGAGGGGGAAAGCGACAGCACCCACCCGGTCGGGACCCCACCAGACAGTCCTGGAAACACCCTCAACAGCTCACCACCCTTGGCTCCCGGCGAGTTTGATCCAAACATTGATGTTTATGCAATTAAATGCCATGAGAGTAAGCTCAGTGTTACTGACTTTCTCTGCATATACAGTGGTTTGATTTTGCACGATTTTCTTTCAGAAATTCTGGCCCTAGTTATAAGGATGCTGCGATGCAAGACTCCTTCTGAGTCAAAGGCATTCACATTGGACAGTGATGTGTGTTTAAAGGGAACAGGAATGCCAGCTGTTAGGGTGGGGGAAAACTGCAAAGCATGTTTTATAGATAATACATGCACATTTGTAGGTAACGCATTATGACAGAAACGTCCAGTGTTTTCTGACACATGTGTCCAGCTTGCACTCCATGCTAGCTTTGAATGCAGTAGTCTGACAGGATTGTAGATCACAATCTTATATCTCAGTGTCAAAAGGTTAGATGCCCCAAATTATATTAATTTTTAAAAATTTTTTTTCATGCCAGGTTCAGTGACACAGGCCCCTAATCTCATGTATCCCAGAGGCTGAGAGAGGAGGGTCCCAAGCTCAAAGCCTGCCTGAGCAGTTTAACAAGAGGCTCTCTCCAAATGAAAGCCGCTTTGTGGCTGTAGCTCATGGTGGAACTGTTGTCTGACACCAGTGAGGCCGAGTCAAGCCGCAGTACAGAAGCTTGGCGCTCTCCTCCGGAAGTCCAGTGGGTCACAGATCTGTCTTGAGGGAGGCAAGTGTGTGCAGGCCACTGTGCCCCTGGCGTGTCCTTCTTGTGGAGTTGACATGTCACACGCGGCCTGCGCACAGTGAGACCCGCCCCTCCTGCTGCCCGCTGTGGGGTCTGTGAGCCTCCTCCCGGACTCACACTCACCTCAGACCTCAGGATCTTGGCATTTCGTTTGCTTTTCACCTTAGCTGCATGTCCACGGCAAAAACATTTTACTAATACAGTTTTTAAATAATAAAATAGGCAATCTGTGCCCCCCACTGCTCCCTTTTTTAACTTAGCATATAGCTAAGCAGGTTTGGGTTGTATTTTGCTATATTTTTAATTTTACCCACCAAAATCACTTCTTAAACATAAGAAAATTATAATTGACTGTACATTCAATTATGTTTACTATTTCTTACTATTCATAATTGATACAGTATATTCTTTGAAACTATATAGAAAGTAGACAATGGAGGCATAAAATCTTTTATCCAGTTCTGATAGTCTATCCAAGGAAAAACATCTCAGTGTCTGATGAGAAGGGATTAATTAATAAGCATAACTAATCCTACTTGTTTTACAAAAAATTCTAAAAATAGCATTTTTCTCTAAGAAAATACAGCATAGTATCATAAAAGAAATGCAGATTCGAAAACAAAATTGAAGGCCTCAGATGGCAGCCTCCCTGCTGTGTTCTGACTTCTTGGTGCTTTTGTTTGGGTTCAGAGAGCAGGCTGTGTGGCTTCTCCCTCCTTCCCTCCGTGCCTGCCAGCTGTGTGCAGCCTCTGCTTCCCCCTTTCCAGACTCCCCTCGAAAAGAGGTGTACTTCATGGCGATTATTGACATCCTCACTCATTACGACGCAAAGAAGAAAGCTGCCCACGCCGCAAAAACCGTGAAGCATGGCGTGAGTACAGGCTCCCGCAAAGGCCCTGGCGCTTTGTGCAGTGTGTGGCCGCCTCCTCCCTCGCTCTTCTCAGCTCCCGGCCATGATTGCTCTAGGAAGTGAGGCGCCAGCACTGCACATCCTCCCCTCATAGCCCCACGCCGCTGTGGCCCCATTGAGAAACTCCCCAAAGAGGAATGTTTGACTATATCCCCTGCGTATGCCACTGCCCCCTCCCCAGTGTGTGTGGGGGGGTGCTTCCAGTGGGAGGAACTGGCGGGGACAGCCCCAGGAGTAACTTCCCGAAGTTTAACATAGTAATATGTACCTCAGGACGGGCAGTCGGTGCTCATAACTACTGAGCCAGCTCTCCAGCCCATTTGTTGTTTGTCACCCTTTTTTATTTTTCGAAGATTTACTTATTTATTATGTATACGATGTTCTGTCTGCATGTACACCTGCATACCAGAAGAGGGCACTACATCTCATTATAGATGGTTGAGAGCCACCCTGTGGTTGCTGGGAATTGAACTCAGGACCTCTGGAAGAGCAGCCAGTGCTCTTAACCTCGGAGCCATCTCTGCAGCCCATCCTTTTCTTTTTTTTTTTTTTTCTTAATTTATTTATTTTTTTATTAATTATAATTTTTTCACTTTGTATCCCAGCTGTAGCCTCCTCCCTCAGTCTCTCCCAATCTCACCCTTCCTCCCTCATCTTCACCCATGCCCCTCCCCCAGTCCACTGATAGGGGAGGTCCGCCTCCCCTTTCATCTGACCCTAGCCTATCAGGTCTCATCAGGACTGGCTGCATTGTCTTCCTCTGTGGGCTGGTAAGGCTGCTTCCCCTTCAGGAGGAGGTGATCAGAGAGCCTGCCACTGAGTTAATGTCAGAGAAAGTCCCTGTTCCCCTTACTAGAGAACTTGGACACAGAGCTGCCATGACCTAAATCTGTGCAGGTTTCTAGGTTGTCTCCATGCATGGTCCTTAGTTAGAGTATCAGTCTCACAAAAGAGGCCACTTAGCTGTGTGCTTAGCTTTAGAGTTGGTGTGTGGTTAGTAATGAGGTTACTTTCTGTCTGTCATGTTCAGGGCCTTTGGTTCAATCTCCAGTACCTGCCCCCAAAAATAAATTTCTAGCTTTAAATGTTCAGCTGCATTTGGAAATAGCTGTAGACTATGAGCTGTAGCTGAGTGGTAATTTGGGGCAGTCGTGAGCATTTGATCAATATCCTTTTCCTTCACAATCCTAGGCTGGAGCTGAGATCTCGACTGTGAATCCAGAACAGTATTCAAAGCGCTTTTTGGACTTTATTGGGCACATCTTGACGTAACCTCCTGCGTAGCCCAGATGGACATGAGCACCGGAAGGCAGCTGGTGGCTTTGCTGCAGGAAAAAGGAAAACCAAATTCGATGAAGCACGACCTTGCAGGAAGCAAACCTCCTTGTTTACATCTTCAAGCCCAGATGACTGAAGTGGGGGGCTACTCGCTTTAACAGCTACCTGGTATTTCCCAGCATCCTCCTAGCTATTTCTGACTCTGTATGTGCGCGTGTGCATGCGCACGCACACATGCTCTCGAGCACATTTTTAATTAATTAATTAATTAAAACCAATCCGCTTGAATCAGAGCTTGTAACAACTGAACCCCTCTGATTCCAGCTGTGACTGGGTAGATGAAGGGACGAGCCTATGGGGGAGGGGAAGCGGAAATGCATGGCAGCACAGCACCATGGCAACACCTCAAGATAAACTGTAGGTCAGTTTGCTTTCTGAGCTGGAGGATGTGAGCTTGTTCATCATGGTGGTGGTGGTGGTGATGATTACAAGGAAGAAAAGATCACTTCAAATGTTACACTCCTGGCCCTCAGAAATAGCACCCCTGAGTGTGGGTCACTAGGCCCACAGCCCCAGGCAAAATGCTAGCATTCCCCGTGAACTGGTTCAGGGCTCTTCGTGTCCCCACCCCCAGTGGTCCCAGGCTGAGCTTTCATCTTCCAAGAGTCTGATGCCAAGAGACTGTCTACACTCTCACCTCCAGGAAACCCGCCTGCTGCTCTCTTCTCACCTGGAGACTCATTGTCACGCCCTCATGCTGAGCTGCAGAAATTCACTCTGCAAACAGATGTAGAACCTCCCTGAATAGTTGCGGCTATGGCAGCAACACCTCCACCGCAGGAAGAGGAGGCGAGACCCTCCTGTGACTGAAGGCAGTCCTAACATCCGAGGTTTATGTTCGACCATTTGAGGAGTGGAATTTTGTTATGAATTATCCCTTTAACTGAAACCCTCAGTTTTACTGTTTACATGGTTAGAAAAACAGGGATATTTTTGAATCTAAAAATTTAATATACAACATGTGATTTTTGAAGTTTACATGTAAAGCCATTTTGCAGTGTAGGGAACGTAATGTTTGTTGTGTTTTGAGGTATGTCTTGCAGTTGTGTTTTGAGTGAGTGTTTTGTTCAGAGTACTTAGTAGACAGTCTTTCACATAAAGCAAAAGGATTTTGTTCCTTAAGATGTGTATTTATCAACCTAATGGGTTTTTTTATAAAAAGATTAAACCCAAAATCTGGTTATGTAAGTTCATTGCCCTAAACTGTGATGATCGTGTTTAAGTAAGTTAAAAAACCTTCCTGCATCAATCATGTATCCACCACTTCCCTGTGTCCCTAAAAGGCCTCAAGTTACAGAATACTAGATTCGCTTAGAACACGTTACCAACTTACATGCTGTGCTGCAGCTGTGCCTTTAAAAGTCCCTGTCTGATGTGTGAGGTGGTTTCTGTGGGCAGTTTTAGAAAGGAAAAAAAAAATCCACCCTTCAGTTATTACAAGTCCCCAAGCCCCCGGCCAGGCTGCCTTCCCAGTCAGTCACTTTACTTCTGTCTGTCCAGATACGGCTGTGCCCCACATGTGTGGGCTGCCTTCACAGCATCTGGACATCGGCGTCGGCACCCCCTGACCCCTGTGCATTGACCTGCCACAGATTCATTAGCTGACAACGTTAACGCCACTGTAACATAGTTGTACAAATCTGTGTTTGATGAATTTGACATAATCGAGGCTGTATGATCAGTTTCCGGGCACTGTTAACTGTGGTGTCCGATCTGTTTGAGTATTTTGGAGCTCTGCCGTAACCTCTGATCCCCAAACTGACAAACCCACAGCCCTAAAGATGAAGGTACACATCATGATCTGATGTGGCATTCCCTCTGTGGCCAACCTGTCTGCTTTTAGACGTTTACAAACATGCTTTGGTTTTGTCTGTAACCATCTCCGTCATCCAAATCAGCTGTTGGAACAAGAGCAAGGACAGGAGCTAACAGTGCGCTCAAGTTGTGAGCCAAGCTTTGTGAATAAAGCACTTTGATGACTCTCATGGTTTTGCTTCTCTGTGCGGGAGGCTAGTTGTGAGTCGGACGGGGTATCCTCAACCGTGCTGTGAAAAGGTAAAGGGATGTGGCAGCTTTTAACTCTAGGGCCTGACCTTCCGTCTGCACTGATCGTAAGACACTTCAGTGACATATGACTTCTTGCACAGTGGAGTAAAACACCTTCACGGGCTCGGGGTAGCTCACATGAAACTGTCCACACAAGCACTGACCTCCAAGATCCCCAGCACCAACAGAAATGCCAGGTGAGCATATCGGCCTGTTGTTCTTAACAAAAACTAATCCTTTGATTCTTACCAGGAAAGAGCTGGATGCCGGGGTGAAAGCCTGCCAGCTCAGAGAGGCAGAGACAGCACCCAGAGGACCTCCCCCCTCAGCGGCTCCTCAGAAGGAACCCTCCTCCCCTTACGCCAGCTCAAAAAACCTCCTTCAGACTGAATGCCCCTCCCCTGTACCTCTGTGTGTCTCTCTCCATCCTGACCTCCTCTTCCTCTCTGTGTTTTTTCTTAGTGAGTCTGTGCTCACTCCCTGTCATCTGGTGCTCACTCCACCTCTTGACTCCTGGTTGACTTTATTTAATCCTGTTTACAGTATTCAAGCAGAAAGCTCTTGGATTAAAGGTGTGTGCCTTTCCACAACTAAAAACAGGTTTTTCCAGTAAACAACACAATTTCGGGGTTCACAGTGTGGTTAAATATTCTGTAACAGCAGCCCACCACTAATCCCAGCACTCCAAAGGCAGAAGAGAGAGCAGTCTGACAAAGCTAGACTGGCCTGAGTTCAGTAAGAGACCCTGACTCAATAGTAAGGTAGGAAGTGATTGAGGAAGGCTCCTGGTATCAAACCTCAGGTCTCCACACACGCATGCACACGCGTGCGCGCACGCACACACACACACACACACACACACACACACACACACACACACACGATGTTCTCAGACCGTGCTCTAATGCAGTTGACACGGTAGGGTGTCCTTTGAACATAGTGCCCGATTCCTGTTGTTAGTGTGAGAGTTGGCTCACATGGAGCACGAGGCCAGTATAGAAACTGCCGACCTGAGCACGGGAAGACACAGCTTCCCGCCACCGGTTCACCGCACGGTCTCACCGCGCACCATCTCTGCCTTCTGCTTTGCAGCGTCCCAGAGCTACGAGGTTCCCAGTAGCCATAGGTAGCACTCAGCTTTTGTGGAAGTCACTTGGTAAGATCTTTGGTATTGATGTTTTTAACCATTTAGCATGTTTTCATGGAGCAGGTTTTTTTCTTTGATGTCCTTGTGTGTGACTGGTGAGGGTTGGGGCTTCTAGTTCCGGTTTTCCCAGAACTCCCGTGGTTGTTATGGTTTTCTGCTTTTTCCAGTAGTTAACTTTGATCTGCATTTGCCTAAGAACATAGGTGCCAAGTTCTTGCTGGTCAAGAAGAGCTTGGTTCAGTTGTATTTGTGGGTAATTTGAAGGTGGGGCAGGGGCCTGAAGCCGCTGGGCACATCGCTTGCACAATCAGGAAGCAGAGCGACAAACGCGTGCAGTTAACTGCCTCCCTGGTCCATTTACACAACCCAAAATCCCAACACAGGACGCTGACACAGAGTGGCAGGTCTTCCCGCCTCCGGTAACTCAGTCGAGACCCTTCCCCGGGCATGCCCAGAGGCTCGTCTCCCGAACGATTCTGGGTCCTGTCCACCTCTCTGAAGAATATAAAAAGACCCTAAGCCTGCTGAGTGGCCGTCTGTGGAGGCAGAGCTTGCCTGTCAGAAGTGGTTGGGCTTGGGCACCACTGACTGAAATGGCTTCTCCGCTCCCACTGAACACTCGCAGCGTATCTGTGGTATGTGTGGGTTTACATGTGTGTGTGGAGGCCCGGCCTCAACCTTGGTTCTCATTCCGCAGAAGCAGGAGCTAACCACCTTAATTTTTGAGACAGGGTCTGTTAGTAGGACCTCAGGCTCACCTCGTAGGCCAGCGACCTCCAAGAACTCTCCACTTACCCTGTACCACAGCTACAAGCATGCGCACAACTCCTGGCAAGACCTTTACCAGCTGAGCTGTCTGCCCAGAACACTCCTCACAGACGTGAGACACTTCTCTGACCTGCATTTGTCTCTCCCCTTTTTGCCTATACTTTCTCCTAATCTATAAACAAGGCAGCTTTTTACTGATAATAACAGAAGCCAGAAAACCCTTGGCAGAGGACCATTCCAACCCACTGCTTTTTTATTATTATTATAAATAAAGTTTTATGAAAACTCAGTCCTGTCCATTCATGCAATACTTCCCATGGCCTCCCAGACTGCAACGGCAAAGTTCATGGTGCAGGCACAGACTTCACAGCCGCAGAGTCTAAAACACCCACTGGGAAAATGCTCTGCTACTAAGCTACCTCCCAGTCTCTCAGACTTTCTAGTTATTATTGTTGTTAGGCCTCAGAAAGGTCTGGGTAAGGCTTTCACAGCAACTAACATGTGCATTGCTTTTACCTGCTGCTGCTGTGGTGGTGCTGAGCCTACCCCTGCTAGAGCACTCCCTGCAGTCACCAGCCGACAAGTGAGGCAGTTCCCTGCACAGCCTCGGACGCGCCACCTCCAGAAGGCCACGGCTTCCTGCTTTGCTGCCCTTGTTCGGCCCATTCCACCCTAGACCTTCCAGATTGTGGTGGCGGTCCTGTGATAGCAGCCTAAATTCAGTAAATAGATGAGCACATGGGCAAAGAGAGCATGTTACCACAGGGAATGCAGCTGCTTTTCAGGGCTGGCAGCGCCGACAAACTTTCTGCTGTCACACACTAGATCTAGCCAGACTCAGGAGACTCAGGGAAGCCATTCATTTCTTCTCTGTTTTGCTTCTCTGTATAGCCTTGGCCATCCTGGGCTCACTGTGTAGAGCAGGCTGGCCTTGAACTCACAGCAGTCTGCCTGCCTCTGCCTCTGCCTGAGTGCTGGGATTACAGGCACGTGATGCCACACCCTTCATCTGTTCTTTTAACATTTCCTCAATTGGATTTAAACCTGGGGGTTAGGGTAAGTCTAATCAGCTTCCACAATCACAAATGCCGCTTCCCATCAAGAAGTCCCCTACTGTAGTGTTTCCTTTCGGACCACTCCAGGTGCTGTGTTCATCTTTCTATAGCAAGAGCAGAACAAGCCACTGGATAGCATAGGAAAGACCTGTGGGCCCTTCCCGGGATCCCTGTGCCACGGCCATGCTGCTGCCACCACCCTGTCTCTTGTGCCCAGGGAGAGTCCACAGGGTTTTGTTTGCATCAACACCAGCATAAAGTGGCCTTTGCCATAGGGACATGGGGCAGCGATACCCTTGTGCTTTGTTGAGCAAAGGGGACACCTGCCTCACTAAGGTGGGAGAGGTCGCTGAGATCAGTACCAGTATGGAGACTCCATAACAGTATTTGGCCTCTACCTGATTCTTGGGACACGGACACGAGGATTGAAAACACAGTAAGGGCCCATCGGCATGGCTCAGCGGCATACAGCGCTTACTGTAGAAACCTAGAGACCTGAGTTCAACACGTTGAACCCACACAGAAAGCCAAATACAGTGACACGCATGTGTAATTCCTCCTGTTGAGAGATGGGAAGTAAAGACAGAACTGCCTGAAAACTGGCTGATTCAGAGCACACAGCACAAGCACAGAAACAATGAGAGACCTTGCCTCAAAACACGGTTGGCCCCAGCACTCGGGAGGCAGAGGCAGGCAGATTGCTGTGAGTCTGAGGCCAGCCTGGTCTACAGAGTGAGTCCAGGACAGCCAAGGAAACAGAGAAACTCTGTCTCAAAAAACCTTAAAAACAAAAAGATTAGAAGGTGAGAACCAACTCCCAGCGGTTGTCTTTGACCTCTACACATGTTTGGCTGGCATCCACCCAACACTCAACATACACAATTCCTTAAAGATTAGTAAGACAAGCACACAGTCAGATCATGGCCAATAGTCTAGGCTAGCTCTGGGAAGACAATGTGGTGGCCATGTCTAAGGCCAGCCTGCCAACACATGGGCCAAGATGGCTGCACTCTGGGTATGCTCAAGTTGCCAGGGCTTGACTATTGATGGACCGTGTACATCAAAAGCAAAGATCCTCTGCAAATGTGCCTGTGAACATAAGGCGAACACTAGCAGTTCTTGTCGTAGTCAACCTGGCAGAGCTCTGGGCATCAACCAAGAGCTTGCAGCAATCTAAAAGGCCTTTTCAAGGACAAAGTTCTTGACACCCGGAAGAAAAACAAAAAAAACAAAGCAAAACATTGAGCTTTCTCTGTTTTAGTTTATTTTCTCCACATTTTCCTCCCTCCATACAGCACCACAACATCCCCCCAAAACAACATTCTCACAGCATCAATAACTGAAAACCAGCCCATTGGAGAAGACAGAATAGATTTGCCTCCCCTCAAGGCCAACCTCAGAGAACGTCCACTTTTTGACCTGCCCAGCAGCTGTAGAACTTGCCTCTGTTTACCTGAGAGTTCAGAACGTGAAGAAGGCTCTATCTATCCCTGCAGCATTTGTTATAAATTGTCAGTGATGAATGGTGACTATCTGTGCTACCTAAAGTGGCAAATCAGCCTGATAAACAAGAGAGCTTTTAAAATCTATAAAAGGAAGTTGGGCTTAATGGCACACACCTGGAACTGCAGCACTGGGGCAGCAGAGGCAGGAGAATGACCACAAATTCAAGGCCAAAAGAAAACAAAACCAGGAAACAAACAAGCAAGCGAACATAAAGGGGAGACACCGGGGAGGCATCTCAGCAGACACACGTGCCGCTCATGTGTGGCGACTAGGATTTGGACCTCACCCCCCACGCTAAAGCTGAGCAGCCATGGTGCTCCCAATACCTACACTTGGGAGGCAGGGGCAGGTGATCCCCGAGGCAAGCTGGCAAGCTCTGAGAACTCTGGGTTCAGAGATCCTGCCTCAGCAAATAAAGTAGAGAACAATTGAGAAAGACAACCAAGGTCGACAGCGGGCCGAC